AAGAACAGTCACGTGACCTGGGAGTGAACCTGGCTTAGTCCTTCGGCGTTCTTTCATTCCCAGGGTTCTGGATCTTTGGGGGTAGCCAGCAACACTCCCTTGTGTTGTTGACATCACTAGCTGACTGATTTCAAATAAACCATCACTATGCTGCTTCTCACCCTCATCTAACTAACGCATCAGCAGGGTGGTGAAGATCACTTAACGAGACATTTGCACACTCAGTCACCCCTGGAGTGAACGCTACTCACGGATGACTCTGAGCTTTCAAAAAATGTTGAAACAAGCTTATTGTTTTCATTGCTGATGTCAGATGCCTTTTCATTTGTATCCCAGAGTTCTCAACTTCCCCACTGCCTAGCGACAAGGTGCTATTAGTTCATGCATGCTAACTAATTAAATAAAAAACTCACTTGGAGGTGCTAAAAACTTCCAAGTTGGAGACATATGAGATGCCTCTACCTCCTGTGGGTGTGAACTTTGCACCTAAGTGCCAGGCCCTTTACTAAAGCTGACTTGCTGGTAAATTGACATTTTCTGGGGACCCAAAGCTCCTGGGAGAGAGAGAGATTCAAATTCTAATGCTTGCAAAGATGTTTTTCGGACACTCTCCTGCTGTTAGGTACAAGAAGGGGAGCTCCAAATGAGTGATCTCTAGGGCAGGCCAGTAGGCAGAGGAATGCAGCAGAGAAATCAGAGATAGTTACAGGGAGTAATGCATCAGGAGAGTGACATTATGAGCCAGTTGGAAAAGATGACTTTCCAGATGGAGCACCACTATCTGGAGGAAATAAGGGGGATCTCTACTTCCATCCGTACCTACAAATCAATTCTTGATGTATCAAGTATCTAAAATTTTTAACTGGAAATAAAAACCACTAGAAAAGTAGAAGTTTAAAAGTATATCCTTGGTAGAGAAAGCTATTATGTGTAAGATATATACAAGGTAGATACTTAAAATGGATTAAATTCAACAACATAAAAACAAGTATTTTTTGATGGGAATAAATATACAATAAAGTCAAAGACAAGAAAGAGAAAATACTTACAATAGATATTAAATATAAAGGACTACTTTCTTTAATCTATAAAGAGTGTCTGCAAGTAATTTTGGAAAAATAACCCAATAGGCAAGTGGTAAAGGATTCTTCAGAAAACAAATGATAGTGGAGTTAAAAATATATGAAAACATTTAAAATTTGCTGAAATGCTAAAATTACAGAAATGTAAATTGAAACAGCTAAAGATTTAAAAATAGGACCACACATTTTAATGGCCATCTTCAGAGGGACTTGGGTGCTGTCGTATGTTTATTTGTGGGAGTATAAGTAATATAACTCCAAGAAAGAGAGAACAATTTAATAATATTTATCAAAATTAAAGTACAGATAATCCTTGACTAGTGATTTCATTTCTAGGAATTTATCCTATAGTCAAGCAATATACATATTCAAAAATATTCACTGTGGTGTTGTTCATGAAAGCAAAAGGTTCTCATCCATTTTGATTTTAAAAGTCAGAAGACACAAGTGTAGTGACTTTGTCCTTACATAGAAGCGAAGTTAGAAGGTGTTTTCCCTATCGTAGGGGAAACCTGCCCAGCCAGAAGTTGCTGTCTGGGTCAGTTAATCCTGACAGTACCACAGAGGAAGCCACAGTCAACAGCAAGACTGGCGGATTCCGCACTCTGAAATCCAGGATGACAGTGATAATTCATGACTCCAGGTGTGGCCGAAGTCACAGTGCGTGCACTGGGTGTTACATAAGTTGTCTTTGTCTTATATCCGCTGGACCAGCCATTTTAGAATTAGGAGACCCCACTGGAGCAAGGTGGGGTGGTTCCTGACATGGGGTGTTATCAGGATGTGCTTCAGGGCCCAATGTTCAGGGTCCCCTGAAGTAATTGCGTGCCTGGTGCCTATGTCACCCTTGAACCTTGGCCAATGGCCCGGCAGAGACCATGGACAATGGAGTCTGAACAGGTAGCCTGGGTATCTTGCTCTGTTTTTATGTCTTTTAATTGTCGACTGTCTAAAGTTTAATGTGCTGTGCTGTGTAAATATTTTAGCCACTTAACACTGGTTAACAATCCTATTTTGATGTTAGCCAAGTTTTAGGGATAAAATGGTACCTGTCCAACATTAAATGCCTTTATAATTGCAAAAAACAGAGGAGTTCTTCTGTATGTGAGGAAAAAATGTGAATTTGAAAAGTTTTTAAAAATCAGAATACATTCATAGAATGGAATCCTTAACAATTTAACAAATTAATAAGAATGCATGGCTTGAGATGGGACAGTTGCTCAGATGTCACTAATGAACAAAGCAAGGTAAAGGACAACACCTGTCATGGGTTATCTGAGCATTAAGACGTGGATGACAGAGGTTGCCTCTGAGGAATAGCTAAGGGGTCGATTTTATTTTATTCTCTAGGCTCATTTATACTTTATAAATTATGTACAATCTGCATGTTTACCTACTTACAAGGTTTTGTTCTAAAGAGAGTATAGGAGATTATTGCACCAAGCTGACTTGATGCAGGAGCCCAGCGCCCCTTCTCAGATGAGGGGCATAGCACGCAGACACCCAGGAAGCCTAATGTCAGGCCAGCCAGACAGGTCTCACTTCAGACTAGAAATCGAATGTGGATTATTTCAACCCTTTTAAAAAATGAGCATACTGATTGTCATCAAGATTACAGAGTCCGAACAGTTCTAACACACACACACCACCGCACTGCCTTTAAATTCAGGAGTGGACACTTTTAAGAACAACTCAGCATTTTATGGTTCATTTTATTTTTAAGCAGAAAAATGGAGAGCTTTCTGAAGCTCTGAAGAAAAATTATGCCATTGCTTCATTTTTTCCCTTTACACCAGAGGTGGGAACAAAGAGTAGAGATGGTACTGCAGTTTTGATCTCTGCAACCTCATTTGAAATCATTCTCTATGATTTGAGTTTCCTTGAAATGAAAATGATAAATTGTGTTGACTTAGTTAGATTTGGGGGGGAAATTGATTAGACATTCTATTGTCAAGGAAACCGGTTCTCTCTCTCTCTCTAGCATGCACACGTGCGCACACACACACACACCACACCACACATGCGCCAGCCAATACGGTGGCCTTTAAACTCTTCATCTGACATTTTAAATTATTTAAAAATACCCAAGGGCTCTACTCTGAAAATCTGTACAAGAAGTACTCAAGGGAAGTGATTCTTAGAATTCAAACTCAGGGAGGTCTCTTTCTAATTCTGGGGAAGCCACAGTCATTCTGAGTCAGTGCTGTGTCTCAGAAAGGCTTGGGACAGTTTCCAAGGTCAATGTCAAGTCAATTGCAGAATGAGACTGTTGGAAAGAAGGAGCTGGAATGAGAATGTCTAAAACAACAGAATAGCCCAAGAGTAAGAAAGGAAAGCCCATCACACACCACGCACCCCCTTCGCTGAACATCTAGTATAAGAAAACAAGAAGCTGTGCACTTAAAATAAAAAGGCAAGTAAAGACCATGCTCAAAGGGGTCTTAGAGACAGAGGTAGGATGGCTTCTCATTGAAAGACATGCGCCGTCTCCTCAGCGACCCATCTGAGATATGTCGGTCCTGCCCCTTCCACGTCAGGGGTGGCCAAGTGCCCTGCTCTGGCCTGCCCACGGCCACTGTGAGTTTCCTGCCTTGCTGTTGGGTTTGGCCAGCAGGATGTCAGCAGATAATGAGCAGGATGCCACAGGCCTCTAGTGCTGTGGGCCTTACTCTCTAAGCCGCTGCCATCTCTGGAATAGTCTGCTATGGCTTGTCTGTCTTCCAAGACGGATGAGATGTGCACAGAGCAGTTGCCCCACTAAACCCAGCCTCTGAGTCAGCTCCCCACTGAACCTGCGGAGGCACCAGGAGCCCGGCTGAGCGTCCTGGCCAAGGGTGCTTCGATCCGTCACTCCCAGCCAAACCTTAGACACGCAATAGTTTAAGTCACTCCACTTGGGAGCAGTGACAAACTAATACAGAAAGCAGGGAGCAAAGCACCTTAATTTATTATTCTGGCATGTTCACATCAACATTAAGGAATGGTTAAAGGAACTTGATCAGAACTATGGGGCTCCTGGCTAGGGCCATTCACAAAGAGACAATTCCATTCCTTTCAAGAGTCTTCTCTGGAAGAACAGTTATCACATATCCCAGAGTAGAAGACTTACAACCCCTGGTCCCTGAGCTAGGAACATCACAGAACTTTCCTGTACCTAAATTAGTTATCCCAGACCACCGAGAAGCAATGTGAGAACTGACTAGAATGAGTGGACTGGAGTGTGGAAAGTAGGATGAGAATCAATGTCTTCAAATATGCAATGGCCCGACCTTGGGCTTGTTCACCAGACTGTGGAATTAATTTATTTTTTTAAGGCATAGACTTTGGCTTATCATAAGGGAAAATTTAAGAAAAATAAAGGGAAGAAGGTCTCTGAGGATGAGGGTGACTGTATGTCCCAGTATACCCTGGACAGGCCTTGTTTCCACTGGTCCTGGGGTCAGGATTAGTGGCTCCCCCTTCACTAGCAGAAGTGCTGTGGGCTGGATAATGGGTATGGTGATTAGACAGCTCTATGGGAACATTTTACCCATAGAGTTGCACAAAATCGGTTCAAGTATGGTTCGATAAATTCATGGGGAAGAGTGGACAGAGTGGGCCAGGTAGCTCAGACATGGCCTAGAGAGCTGCTGTGTCCCCTGAACATATCCTTGCGACATGGGTTAGAGATGGCACAGGCACGCGGAGCCTGATGCCACTGGTCAGGGTTTACAAGACTGGGACGTGGAATTCTTTCAGGCTAGAGTTGTCCCTCCCATGGGCAGCCCTGAGGGCCAGGTCAGGAGCCTCAAAGACAGCACTGTGTTTATGGATGCTCAGGAGATACAAGCAGTGCAACATTCCCATTCCTGTCATTGGTTCCGTATCTATGCAACATGCAAAAATCACATTCTTTAGTGAGAGAATGGAGCCTCTTACCCACACACAGGTCCATAGAGTTTCCGGAGCTCCAGGTGGCTTTCCCAAAAACCCTGCAGAGAACAGCAGTGCAGTAAGCAAAAGAGGAAACCAAATTTCAAGTCTGCAGGCTTGTTGTACAAACAAGCCATGAGACTGCCATTATATACACAATAAAAAAGAAATGCAGTTATATGATTTTCAAGTACATTGGAGATATTAGAATAAACTAGTAGCTTAAAGAAAAAAATAAGTGGATGGCCCAGGAAAAGTCTCAGTCAGCTCTGTGTTAGTGGACAGAAGTGATGCTCTGTACTTCAACTCTTTCCGTGTAACTGCTGCTAAAATATTTGAACACTATTTGCTTTCTCAACTATGTTAACATTCCCCTCTGCAATTTGGTTTATATTATTATTATTTTTGGCAAAGCCTCTTTTCACAGCCACTCTATGTGTAAACTTTGCTAAATCTACCCAAATTATCATAAATTCTGAATGCTCGTGATCCAAGTTAAATTTTAACTAAAGTCAACATTTCAAAACAGAAGAACTTACAACAACTCTATATGGGACAGAACGCTAGATACACTTCTTCACAGAGAAGGAAAGAGTCTACCCTGGTGGAAAACCCAGCGGGTCAGAAGACACTGGACCCCTGTTTTGGGCGGTCGTATGTGCATGCAGATATTGGGGAGCTTAGGGGAGAAGGGTTGGAAATCGCTAGAACCATTGTGTTGTAGGAATAAAATATACATGAAAATCTGGGTGGGGTGGGGGGTGGAAAATGCTACATTTGTCATGCTGTAGGACAAGGGTGGATGGATGAAAGGTGGGTGAGAGGAGAGGGTTGGGGGATTGAAGAGGTCAACGTCCTTATTGCTTCTTCTCACTAAAGCTCCTGAATGGCGCAGGCTAAGCTTGCCAGTATCAAGGAAAACTTATATGAATATAAAAATAGTCACTGAAATTACTATGTTCTAGAAAGAACTTGGCAGGGTTTGTCCATACAAGGAAGACGAGCTGAAAAGGAGCATATGTGGAAACTATCCAGAGGCAGGAGCTCTGGGTTCTTCACATTGATAGTGACACTGTTTCCTCAAACTGTTAATACCCACATTAATTACTCAGCTGAATGCGGACTCGTCCCCTCCCCCCAAACGTGAAATATATTTAATTTCCTGTCTGGTTGGTTGTTCTATTTTGACACATATATTATTTCACTGGCTTCAGGGGGTTCACAGGAAGCCAGGAGGAGAAAGCTGTTGGTTAGGTTGCCAATTGGTCACCCCTGCAATGGAGAAGAGAGGAGGTGTTTTATAAAGTGCCGGCAACAGCAGCACTGGCAAAGAGCGAAAAGGGGTGTTGGGGGGAGAAAGGGAAGAAAGGAATAGAAAAGAGACTGCAAGAGGGCGGGGTGGGGGGGAGAACGGAAAGAGCTATGTGCCTCGCTCTGCACTGCAGTGGCCGCCCTTCAGGGACAGGCTGGGGGCTTCTGGCGCAGTCGTCAAGGGCTGTCACCAGGTGGACCCTTCCTGCCTGTTCGGCTCAGTGGCGCTTCGCTTACAGAGCCTATTGGCTTCTGATGTTGGGTCCGGCGACAGCCCCCATGAGCTGGCAGAAGGAACCTTCTGAGACAGTCCAATGAGAGACAGAACGAGTAACATTTAGGAGATGAGCCTTGGCGCCTGAATCTGCAGATGCCCGTGGCCATTCTTCCTCACATGCTTGTCATTCTGGTACCCCAGAGGTATCTCCCTGAGCCAGCTATCCTCTGCCCTTTTATTTCTGTCAACTCACGGCCACTTTCCCTGTCACTCTGGCCGGCTACTTAGAGGCATGGTGGATTCAATTTGAACTCAGTTTGCTTGCATACTTTAACCCTAATCACAAAAGATACTAATGTCCCCCCAGCTGAGGTCAAGCTCTCATCGCTTCCCTCCTAGACTTCAGCAACAGATGGGGTCTACACCTTACCTAAATCCCTCTTCCCTGCAGTGTAATCGTCCACCAGGGTATCCCTCTCCGCTCACAGATGGGGGCATGTGAATAGTTCTCTGCTAGCCTTTCTGGACTGTAGGACATCTAGCCCACCTATCTTTCTCACAGCTGCATTCCCTGGTGCGCCCCAATCTTTGGCTTCTAGCCAGTCCAGGCTGCCTGTGTCATGCTCTGCCTGAATTTTCACTTGCTGCTGTCACACACATTGTTACTCCCCACCTGGTCTGTGAGTCCTTATCTGTGTCTGTTGCTCCTGTAAGACCCTCTTCTCCAGGAAGTCCTCCAGATGAGCCTAGCAGGAAGCCCCTCCCTCTCCTCTGAAGAACAACCACGGCTACCATCGAGACAGCCTGATCTGGCCTAGAGTATAGCCCCCTGGGGCTGTACATCCTTAATCGATGCATACATGTGAAGGTAGAAGTAACTTCTGTAGTCTGAACATTCCCAAATCTGGCACATCTAGACACTTAGTAACTGGGGTTTGGGGTGAATGGATGAATGAATGAACAGGACAGTGCATATTGATGAGTCATGAGAGATGGATCAGTAAAAATTCATTCAGGTGGAGGAGGACTTGACCCTCACTCAAGACCACTGTGGGGGTGGGTGACCCAGATGGGGCCCTGCTTCTCGGGAAAAGCCTGCTCAGACTTAACATGTCTTATGCTGGAAACAGTGCAAGATAGCCGTACCTGGCGGAAAAACGTCAAGTTCCCAATGAAAGGAGAAGGCTTGGGGTGGTGGATGCCCACTTTCTCCAGGCTGGAAAACGCTGACGTGGAGTACCTGAGGGGAAAAGCAAACTTTAGAACGCAAGAGCTTGAAATTTGCTGCCATATTTTTGGAGCTAGGATAAGTTAGATTTTTTGAGTTGCCTGGAAGGTAGAAGTTGTTTCCAGTTGGTAATTTTGAAGAACTGAGGACGTAGAGGTCCAGAGGTGGGTGTAAAGCTCTGTGAATTCCTTCTAGTTGAGCAACAGCTAGAGAAGATGGAAGTCTGGAGTCCCATCTTTGGGGGGCCCTTAGAGGTGCTGTATCTAAGTCCCCTTTCCCCACCCGAGATTTCCACCAGCAAATTGCTTTCACAAGGTGCCTCTCCCTGGTTCAGTTCTTTTTGCCTCTAAAGCTACCAAGAACCATTGTCTTAGAAGGCAAGAGAAAATAGTCACGTTGGCAAAAATCAGTTTCCTATGCAAATCCGTATATTTTCTTGGTCCACACTGACCCCTGCACATAATTTGTTCCCCATCACATTCCATGGCCTAGTAGGGAAAAATAAAAACTAGGGAGGAAGGGAACACACCATGGAGAAAAGACCTCATCACCAACTGCTTACAACCTCTTTAAATCTTTGTTTGCACGGGCTGCGACATATGGAAAGCATATTTTCTTAACCAAAAATCAGGAAACGTGGCCCGACAGATTTCTGTGCCACTTTCCAGGAGAAAGCGGCAGTCTGAGAAGTGCAGTGTGGCTGTCAAAACATTGGAATTACTAGGATATTTCAACAGTTTATGGGAACAGAGGAATAACACAGTTAAAGTCAGAACCGGCTTAGAAAAAATACCCGGACATATGGCTGCGATCCCTAATCAGCCAGCCAATTAGGTCAAAAGTTCACTTAGTTCAGAAAAATTAATGAATCAAACGGGGTGTTTAGCATCCTGCCGAGATCTGCCAAATCTCAATTTGAGAGCCAGGAAAAATGCAGAGAGTATCACGACAGCTGGGTTTCCAAGGAGGCCTCGACCTTAAAACAGCATCCACTGTTCTGAGAACCACTGGCAAGAGATGGAATGTTCCCTATAGTCTTTGACCTTCCGCTTCCCGTGTGCCATCCAGTAAGATACACGTAGATAAGAACATTTCACCCAACATGCAGCTGTTCAAGCAAAAGACAACCCAATGTAACTTGATTCGTCTGCGTCTGTGCAATGGGTCTATTTTGAGAGTGGCCACAGAGAACAGGGCCACAGGAAGGTCGGTTCTGCTTGCAGCCCTCCCGGCCGGGGTTTCCACCATAGGGCGCATTATTGGGTTTGAATGAATTCCCAGGACATCCAGTTGAAGTCCATGAGCCCACGTTCAGTGTAATTATAGATCACACTCAAGCCACGTGCGAATTACAGGCATTAATCGTGCCAACATCCCTCTTCATTAGTGTGTGTACCAGAGGTTGACAGCAGAGAGTAGACAAGTTATTCTTTCAAGTTGACTGTGATGTTTTAACATAACTGCCCTTCCACATAAAGGGAAAGGACCCAAGGAGACTCAAAAGTTTCTTCAACACTTTCTTCTCCAACGTCAAATCTGGCTTCTTGGTTCATTTCTTCATCAGTTTTTGTGAATTATTTTCCAAATGTAATCTCTAATGGGTAGAAAGAAATATGTAGATCTTGGGCCACGTAATTACATCTTAATTTTGTAATTAGATGTCTTGATTGTCTAATTAAAGGACGAGAAGTCTGTGCCTAATTACACGTGCTAATTATTATGCAAGTCCATGCCCTAATTATGTAACTCCACTTGACGAAAATACTGCTCGTGTGTCTCTGCACAAAATTCAGACATTTTTCAAACATATGGCATCAGCAGAGAATGTCCTGGACACAAGTATAAACTTCACTTTGCAGCTTAGACCCAAGTATAGTACTTTAGCTGGGAACTGGCCAAGTGGTGCCTTCGGTAACTGCAGCCTTCATGTCAAAATCATCCATTGCCACCAGACTTCTAGGCAGAATTGTAAAGTGAATTCCATTTGTCTCACTCCCACTTCCTCCCCTGTACCCTTGATTCTGGCTGTCTGGCTCCAGGCTCCCTATGCTGTCCTCGGTCTCAACAGGCTCAAAATCCACAAGCCACGGGCCCTAGGTGCTATGAATTGAAGAGTGTCACAGGAAAAAAGAGAAGTTGCCATCCTAACCCCCCAGAACTTTCGAATTTAACCTTATTTTGCTGACGTCATTAGTTAAGATGAAGTCCTACCGAAGTAGGGTGGATCTCTGTCCCCTTCTAAGAGGAAGATGACGTGGAGACTTGCAGACCAGGGGGCATGCCGTGTGCCGACCAAGGCAGTGGTTGGAGTTAGTGCAAACTAGGGGTCAGCACAGGGAGTCGATCCGCGAATCACGAGAAGCCAGGAAGAGGCCAGAAAGGGTTGCAGAGGGAGCACAGCCCTGCAAAACCTTAATGTCAGCTTCTAGCTTCCAAAACTGAGAGATGATACATTTCTGGTGTTTTAAGTCCAGTTTGTGGTACTTAGTCATGGCTACTCTAGGAAATGGACACACCAGGGGTACCCACAAGTGCATTTTAGTAAATAAATGAAAAAAAAAAAGGATTTAAAAACATTTTGATCCTGTTACTTTCCAGTGTGTCTGTGAAAAATGTTTCATTTTTATAGCAAATGGTGCTGTAAGTCCTGTGCTAGGAAAACAGCACAGGTGGCTGGCTGCTACTGCGGAAGGCAGGTCATGTGCACCTGTCCTGTGGCCACCACGATGTGCCATTTAGAACAGCTTCCCATTGACGGGAGTTAGTGCCAGGGGCGTCCCGAGGTCTTGATTATGCACATCTATCATTGTTCCCGCGAAGGATACTGAGGCTGGAAAACAAATACCAAGACTGGTAGCTTCAGAGGGCATCCTTGGGCCCTACTTACTCCAGTAAAGCAGTGGCTTATCACCACAGGACATGAATCCTGCAGTGCCAGTGGGCAGCTTACCCTGTCATTCTTAAAGGGAACATAAAGATCATTTAAAAATAAGCTTCAACGTTGACAGCCTAAAATTTCCCCAATATTTTGTCGTCTCCAAAGCCCTCTCTTGCTGCATGTGACAAGCATTGTTATGTAGCCAAAGAAGCCACTCGTGATAAATTGGGGGATGTTTTGATGACATCTGCAATGACATCATAGAGGATGGGGCTCCCCTCTACTGTGCTTTTGGGAACAGCAAATGCCTCGGGTCACTTATTATGTCCTCACCAAATACCAAATCTTAATTCCTGTGTATGAGCTACTTTGGGGGTGTTCAGAAACTCTTGATGTTTTCGCAATGGTGAAAGATTCTTTTGGCAAATGGCACATCTCCCTTAATAAATAAAAATCCTGATGCTCCAGGAACAGGTGAAGCCCCAGGTGGTGGTGGTTGGGGGGAAGGTGCCCCTTGTCCCGCTCTGGGGAGAAAAGCCCTTTCTCGTGGTTACTCTCCCCTCTACGTAACCAACAGAAGTGTGGCCAGCAAACCTATAAAAATGGTGGCCACAAAAGAAACATCAGTAGAAACAGGCTTAAATTACTGCCTTTTCAAAAGGATTTAAGGCACTGTGTAGAACATGATGTCTGCTAGCTTTGCAGAGCACAAATTGAAGAGCTTGACAGATACTTGGACCAAAAAGCTAGAACTATTAGGGGAAAAGTCTATTCTCATTTTATTGTAATTCTTAGTTGTTGTTGTTGTTTTGCATAATCTTTGTGTTTGAGATCAATTCTCTGTATTTTTTCTATGTCTACTTTTTTCATTTAACATAAGGAAACCTCAATGTTATTAATCATTTGTGAATGTCATTTTATGAATCACTAATATTTCTCTTGTGGACAGATAATTTACTAAACTGTTCTCAGAGTTAAATATTTAGGGTGTTTTCTATTTTTTTAGCTCACTGACCTTATGACCCTACAGTGAACACCTCTGTATAGCAAATTTTTTTTTTTATAAATTTTTTTTTAAGATTTATTTATTTGTGCATACAGAACTGGGGTACAGGCCAGGGGTTCAGGGGCGGTGAGAGGCTTCACCAGAGACAGAGTGGGGAGCAGAACAGGCAGATCGACGAAGTACACTGCTGAGGGGAGCAGCGGGCGGGCCAGGAGAGGTCTGCCACACCATGTGGTCACCTCCGGGGCAGGCGGGAATCGAACTCATGAGGAAGCGGCTTTAGATTCTCAGTGCTGTGCTTTAACCTGCTGCGCCACCAGGGAGGGCCTGTATAGCAAATTTTCCCAGCATGGTCTGCATGAAACATTTCCAGAATGGAAATCCTTGAGTCAGGGGTTTTAAACATTGACAACACAATGCCAGAGCACTTTCCAGAAAGTGTGTCCAATGAATCCCACTGCCAGTGGATCTGTTTCACCAAACATTATCATAAAGTGTTTCCTAATCTTGTAGACATATCATCATACCCCAAAGTCTTTTAAAAGATTTATTTATGCATACAAGAACTAGGGTACAGGCCAGGAGCATTGGCGGGGAGGTGAAAGCATCCACCAGAGACAGAGTGAGGAGCAAAACAGGCAGATATACTGAAACACACTGCTGAAGGGAGCAGTGGGGAGACAGGAGAGGTCTGAGAGGTCTGCTGCGCCCTGTGGGTCACTCCCTGGCCGGAGGTTGAACTTGCACTGCAGTGGTTGTAGGTAGCTTCAACGTGCTGTGTTTTAACCCATTGCACCACCAGGGAGGGTCCCCAAAGTCTATTTCTCTTGTGACTTGAGGGAACATTTTTGCACTCCCCTTTTCCCCAATTTCCAAAATATTTACCAACTTTGAAATTATCTTTTGCTTTAACCCCCCTCATTTTCACAAACTCCTAGCTAGGTGTCAGACAGAATGGTTAAAGAATTAGTTAGGAAGTGAACAGTCACTGATAGGGCTGGAAAACTGGCTCCAAGTTCCTAGTTGGGCAGGAAGAGGGAGAAAAGCAGGTGAATTCAGAATAGTCTTCATTTAGAAGAAAACTAACCAGCCTTGCTAGTTGATATGTTGGTTTTAAGTGCCGTGTTT